CTGCAGCGCCAGAGTCAGCTGCCCAGTCCTGGCTCCTGACTCCAACTTCCTGCTAACACAGACCCTGGATGGTGGCAGGGATGCCTCGGGTAACTGGGTTCCTCGAGCCAAGCAGGACCTGAGCTGTGTTCCTGGCCCAGTCCTCGCAGGCCTTAGGCTGACATGAAGACTAGTGTTAACAAAAGTTCAGCGTTATCAAGTATGCGCCAGGTGCCTTTCAAGCAAATAAATATTTCCAGACTGAGAGCAGTTACGGGTGAGCATCTGGGAAATGGAGATGGCTAACGGTGTGTGTGACACAGCAATCCTGCCACCCACCGTCTCCTGATACACACACAGCCCTCTTCCACACGGTACTGACGTCTGTGGACTCTGCTGTGGACAGGGCGAGTGTCAGGTGATGCTGCACGGGCAGTGTGAACCAGTGGTCAGGAAGGCGGCCGCACTTGCCTGGGAGCACGGATTCTTCTCCGCACTCACCTCCTGTCAGTGCTACAAAAAACAACCACAGCTGGTTTGACCCAGGAATGAAAACAATAACTAGTATCAAAATCAGTACTTCAAAGGCCTCCAGCTTTCCAGTCTTTCATCACCATCTTAAGAACCCCACAAAGTCCACTTAGCAGTCTGCCCTATTTTCAAAGAACCAGCCCAAGCACCGGCCTCCCCCCTCGCAGCGCCTGCTGTGCAGCCCAGCAGCTCCCTGGCTGCAGTCAGCAAGTCCTTCCCCAGCCGGCCTCCACCACCTGCTGATACCCAGTTCTGGCTTCCTGGCCCCAAGGAAGGTGGACCCCAGTGTCCGTAGCTGGATTTCAGCAGGGCTCCACGACCAGCAGGGAGAAGGAATGGTGACAAGCCAGGCTCTCCTCTGCTGACCAACCTTGGCACGCAGAACTGCTGCTACTGAGCCATTTTAGGACACAAAGGAAAACCACGCCTGGGCACTGTCAACATAAACCTGTCCTCCATCCCTAGGCAACCTCCCTCCACTAAAACACAACAGGCAGGCGGCCCTCACCTCGTGCCTGTCAGAATTAATTTGAAACAAGACGAGTTGTTTTACTTTAAAAGCCACATGACTGAGCTGATGGAATTTTAAAATAATGCCACTCTCTGTCCTCAGCCGTGGAGCCTGCCGACCTTCCAGTGTCTCAGTGAAGGCACACAGGCCTTGGCATCAAGACAAGCCACAGGCGGTAAAGCCACCACCGGTGATGCCAGCATCCTGTGGCAGCACTGGTTGGGGTCCCAGCTGCTCCACTTCTGATCCAGCTCCCTGCTGATGAGCCTGCAAAGCAGCAGATCCCACCCAAGTGGGACGGCCAGATCAAGTTTCAGTGGGAGACACGGGGTGGAGTTCAGGCTCCTGGTTTCAGCCCGGCTCAGCTGCTCTGTTGCCATCTGGGGAGTGAACCAGCAGGTGGAAGATCTTTCTCTTCCCTGTCTGCCTTTCAAATAAAACAAGTCTTTACAACCAAAACAAAACAAAAACATCCCCAACAAAGGTGGACCGGCTTCCTCAGGCTCACTTCCCAGGACTGCCAGGCACCCCCAGCCCCACTCCGCAGACCCTGGGCACAGGTAGGGCTCCTCAGAAACCCACCCACCACGCAGCCTTGCACGAGCGCTGTCCTCTGCTGCCTTAGCTGTCCTGTCAGTGACACCCCTTCTCCCCACTCATGCCCACTCACGGACGGATGCTCTCTCTCTGTCCCTCCTCTTCTAACTCTGCCTTTCAAATAAATAAAAATAAATCTTAAAAAAAAAAAAAAAAAAAAAAAAAAAAAAAAAAAAAAACCACACACGGTGCCGAGGCCTGGCAGACCAGACACGAGTCTGGCTGAGCCCAGCGCAGAGCTGATCTGAGTCTGGGGGTTCCTTGGCTGCAGAGCCCATGCCAGGCGCCGCACGGCTGCTGTGGCAGGTGTCTCCAAGGACGGGCAGCTGGCAGGAGCCAGGCAGTGTGAAGAGCCCAGAGCCGGCCTGTCTCTACAGAGGCTGCAGGCAACGCACAGCCCAGGCAAGCAGAGAGGATGCTTCTCTGTGGGTGCCAGGCACTCTTCATCTTACGGAGACCTTGAGATGCCCTGTCAGCATTCCCACGTCCTGGCTGTCACGAGGTCATAACAAGTGGTGAGCCCTACCTCAAACCCAGGTCTTTCCCACTGAGCTGCGGCAGGCTTCCTACTGTGCACCCCACATGTGCTCGCAATGGCGGTCTCCACTGGGCGGGAATCAGCGTTCAGTACATCAACCCCTCCTACTATCTGCCCTTACAGAGAAACCCGGTCAAAGCCAACCTCCAGCACCACCAGGCCGAGCACACACGCCCTACTGTGAACGGGAATCTGCTCAGTGGCCACCGCCCAGAGGGGCCTTGGTAGCTCTGGCATCCCTGTGGGACCGTGTGCCTGCTGTACACACCGCACTTCCCACTGTCAACCCTGGAAAACTCCATGACACACCTGCCTGGAAACAATTTCACATTTACACTGACAAGCAATTCACACAAAACATGTATATACTTTGTAGTATGCAATCTTACAACTCTGTCACCTAAAAATATTCCCATTAACACTGCATAAATTCTAAATCCTCACAAATTTTAATTTCCAGTCAGTTAACCAAATTTGTGACTCATTAACAAGAACTTTTAGCAGAAAATCTAAGGCTTAATTCTTCAATATTCTACTGGACAAAGATATGGGAATACTTCTCAGTGACCCCATAATAAATCATCAGGGTGTTCCAAAATCAAACTTCAAGAAGGGTGTGCCCCAAGCTTGCAAAGCAGGCAATTCTAGCGGTGACAAAAGGGTCAGCGCTCGGCGCAGCAGGCACAGCCCACAAGGCCAGCATCCCACGCGGGACCCAGCGGCTCCTCCTCCAATCCCACTCCCTGCTAATGCACCTGGGAAAGCAGTGCTGGGTTCCCAAGCCTACACAGGAGACCTGGATGGAGTTCCAGACTCCTGGTCATTGCCATCACATCCGGGGAGTGCATGGGGGATGGAAGACCTCACTTACCTGCTCGCTCTCCCCCTTTCTTGGTAACTCTGCCTGTCAAATACATTAACAAACAAATACATCTTTGAAGAAATGCTATCACTAGCTCCACAAGCTAAACCAACTTGAAAACTGAAAATGAAAGACAATGAGTTCAAGAAATTACTAAACTCAGCAGAATACAGACATGACGCAGCTGCAGAAGCCAAACACAAGGGAGCCTCCTGTACACTTCTAACACCACGCCCCCGGCAGACATCACTAATCACACCACCCATCCGAGCCCCAGAATTTCTCAATTTAATCTCCCCTTAGAAATCAGCAAACCGGTCTGTTGTCCTCAATAGCTACTTTTCAAACACTGACCAAGGCAATCAGACAAAAAAAGAAACAATTTATTTTCAATGATTTACAATAAACTTCATTTGTTTTTAATTGTTTCCCAATGGCCTTAAAAAGTTAATTTTTTTTCTGTTGAAAATTTTACAGCCAATAGAATCTTAACTAGGAAAACACACTACTTAAAAATCTACAGTCACTCTAACAAGTCTTAGAAAACTACAGTTTCCAGAAGCTCACTTTCGACCTGCCTGAATTTAAAAACCACAGCCCCCTTTCAGTGTATCATTAAAGCTAGATGAGACAGGCCTACTCAGCCAGGGATTTAGAGTCTACTATGTATCTCTCTAAGTCGAGTAAAAAAGCAGCCCTGACCTTACTGCTGCCGCCAGGAAACCGCACAGAACGCTACAGCAAATCCTCCTGACACTTCCTTCCAAAAAGATGCTAGGGCAGACAGAGCCCAGAAGAGAAACAGCGAATTGCAGTCACATTTAGCACAAAGCAAACCCGTGGGAAGGAGCGAAAATCCGGATTCGGAAAGCGATAAGCGTACCGCGGTGTGAGGGGACATTTACTGCAGTCTAGCGCAGAACACCGCCCGGTACTACAGGGGAGCCGGGGGCTCGGCGCCCCGGCCCCCCGCGAGCCCCAACCAAGCCTTACACGCACCCGGGCCCATCTAGAGGAGAACACCGCCCGGTACTACAGGAGAGCCGGGGGCTCGGCGCCCCGGCCCCCCGCGAGCCCCAACCAAGCCTTACACGCACCCGGGCCCATCTAGAGGAGAACACCGCCCGGTACTACAGGAGAGCCGGGGGCTCGGCGCCCCGGCCCCCCGCGAGCCCCAAACAAGCCTTACACGCACCCGGGCCCATCTAGAGGAGAACACCGCCCGGTACTACAGGAGAGCCGGGGGCTCGGCGCCCCGGCCCCCCGCGAGCCCCAACCAAGCCTTACACGCACCCGGGCCCATCTAGAGGAGAACACCGCCCGGTACTACAGGAGAGCCGGGGGCTCGGCGCCCCGGCCCCCCGCGAGCCCCAACCAAGCCTTACACGCACCCGGGCCCATCTTGAGAACACCGCCCGGTACTACAGGAGAGCCGGGGGCTCGGCGCCCTGGCCCCCCGCGAGCCCCAAGCCTTACACGCACCCGGGCCCATCTAGAGAACACCGCCCGGTACTACAGGAGAGCCGGGCGCTCGGCGCCCCGGCCCCCCGCGAGCCCCAAACAAGCCTTACACGCACCCGGGTCCATCGTGCACAGGCCACAGGCTCTCCCGTGCACCTGAAGCTACGGAGGCCTGGCCTCACCTGCCCCGCGTACCTGCCTCCCGCTGCGCCCGCACTGACGCCCCCTGCCCCACGACCCTCGGTGCGGGCCAAACCCGCGCCGCCGCCGAGGGCTGGGGGCACCCGGCTGTCAGCGGCTCACGCGCAGAAAAGCGACCTCCAAGTCGGCTCGGGGCGCCCCGGGCGCACGGCGGCGGCACCCCCGTTCTCGGAGGCTCCCTCCGCGCCCCACCAGGCCGCGAGCGGACCCGGGGAGGGAACCCACACGCTTCCCAAGAGCCCGTCAGAGACCCAATTCAAGACGGCGAAGGGGGGACGGGAGGCAGCGGGCCCCGGCGCCCTGACCCGCGCGGCGCCCACCTCCTGGATGCGCTTCCGCGCCCGCTGCAGCACCTCCTCGTAGCCCTTCTGCCGCAGCTCGCTCAGGCTCTCGTAGTACTCCTCGGGGTCGTCGCTCTCCGTGAACAGCACCTGCGAGAGGATCTTCCAGCCGCAGGTGTCCAGCCCGTGGCCCAGGTACACCTGCAGCTGGTAGCACAGCGCGTCCACCTCCTGCTCGGTCATCTCGGGCGCGCCCCCGAACAGCACGGTCCACATGCCCGACGGCTCCTCGGGGAACACCGGCAGGCACGGCTCCAGCTGCGAGTTCACCGAGCACAGCTGCTGGTGCACGGCGCGCAGGTCCTGGAAGGAGAAGAGCCCGGCCCAGCTGCACTCCTCGGCCGCGGGCTCCGGCTCGGCGGCGGGCGGCGGCGCCGCGTCCGCCTCGTCGTCACGCACCAGCTCCAGCACCTCGATCTCCTCCGAGGCCGCCCCGGAGGCGCCCACCACGCGCACCGTGGACGCCGGGGCCCCGCGAGGGCCGGCCTCCGGACAGGCCGCGCCGCGCCGGGGCCCGGGGCTGCGGAGCGGCGCCGCGGCGGCGGCGGCGGCGGGCGCCGCGGGCCGGCCCTGGCCGCCGCGCCGCCCTGGCCGCGGGCCCCGTCGGCCTCGGCCCCGCCGGCCCGCGCGGCGGCCTGCTCCCGGGAGCCGCTCCTCTGCCGCTGCGCCGTGCGGTTGTGGCAGGTGATGGCGAACTTGCCCTCCACCTCGTTCCAGGCCACGATGAAGACGAACTTGTGCTTCTCGCGCCCGTCGAACACGTGAGGCCGCACGGCGACCCAGTCCGACTCGAGCGTCTCCTCGAGCGCGAACGACATGGCTCCGGCGCCGCGCCCGCTCACGCCCGCCGGGACCCCGCAGCCATCTTAGCGTCCGGCCCGGCTCCTTTGTGGCGCGGCTCCGGGGCAGACAATGCGCGTCCCGGAGCAGGCGGTTCACATGGTCCCGCGCGGCCGGGTCTCGGGCTCGGCCCGCGGCCGCCTCCCGCGCGAGGCCGCCGGACCGCGTCCGGGGGCTGAGGAGCCGGGGCCCGGGCCCGGGCCGGCGCCGTGCGTGTGTCCGCGCTGGCCCGGCCGGCCTGGCCGCCGCCGCCGCCGCCCCTGCGCCCGCCGACCTCCCGGAACCCGCCGGACAGAACGCCGCGTCTGCTAAACTCGGCGCCTCAGCATCGCCACAGTGTTGCCATTCGGCTGCTGACGTCGGCGGCTCCACGAGGGACGTAAACACGGGCACGTGCCGCACGCTGGTGACGCGGCGGCGGCGGCGCGCGCACCCGCCGCCCGGCCCCGCCCCCGCCCCGCCTCCGGCCCCGCCCGCGCGCGGAGGCCCCGCCTCCGGCTCCGCCCCTGCCGGCGCGCGGCGGCGCTCCCGGCTCTCGCGGTCCGCGCGCAGCCCCGCCCCCCGGCCCTGGAGCCCGCGGGGAGCGGCAGGTGCGCCCTGCGCACACACGGGGAGTCTGCGCCCCGCGGGGAAAGGGGCGCAAAGACGGAGGACCAGAGGCGTTTCGAACTCTGGGACCCTCGGCTGTCGGCCTGTCTGCGCTCGCCCGGAGGGAGGCCGCTGAGACCCGAGAGGGCCGTGTGCCGGGCTCCGCGGCCCCGAGTCTCGAAGGGGTCCGAGCCGGCCAGTGGATCCAGCACGAGGCGCAGTGAGCCGCAGGTTCGCCTCCCTGGCGCGCTGTTTGCGTTCCCCTTGAGGCCTCTGTGGCCCGGGTAGCGCTGCTGCGCGCCCCCTGGGAGGTCAGCGGGCGCCGGCCTGCACCCCGCTTCCATTCCCGGCAGCGCGGACGCGGGCCTAGGTCCCGGTGCCAGTGCTCCGTCAGGACCCTGGAAACTGTCCCTTTTGGGCTTCGTCCACGTTTCCGTCTTGGTGCCAGACCGACTGCAGTAGCCTCCCAGGGCCAGCGGCGCGCAGGTCCGAGTTGTTCTGGCATCCTGGACGTTTAAGACAAATGGTTCTTTACTTTTTAGAGATGCGTTTCAAAGGCGGAGAGAGACAGGCAGGGACAGACAGAATCTCTTGGCCAGCCGGTCACTTCTCAGATGCAAGCAGCAACCGGCCTGGGAACCCTATCCGGGTCTCCAAGCGGTGGCGGGGACACCAGTCCTTGAGCCATCGATGCAGCTCCCATGGTGTTCACTAGGAGGAAGCGGGGCCAGACGCTCCCGTGTGGGATGGAGGACTCCCGTGTGGGATGGAGGTCTCCGTGTGGGGTGGAGGTCTCCCGTGTGGGATGGAGGACTCCCGTGTGGCGTGGGGGTCTCCCGTGTGGGATGGAAGACTCTGTGTGGGAGGGAGGTCTCCCGTGTGGGGTGGAGGTCTCCCGTGTGGGATGGAGGACTCCCGTGTGGGTGGAGGTCTCCCGTGTGGGATGGAGGTCTCCGTGTGGGGTGGAGGTCTCCCGTGTGGGATGGAGGTCTCCGTGTGGGGTGGAGGTCTCCCGTGTGGGATGGAGGTCTCCGTGTGGGGTGGAGGACTCCCGTGTGGGATGGAGGTCTCCATGTGGGATGGAGGTCTCCGTGTGGGGTGGGGGTCTCCCGTGTGGGATGGAGGTCTCCTGTGTGGAAGGAGGTCTCCCGTGTGGGGTGGAGGTCTCCCATGCGGGGTGGAGGTCTCCCGTGTGGGGTGGGGGTCTCCCGTATGGGGTGGAGAAGGCTCCCCGTGCGGGAAGGAGGTCTTCCATGGTGGGAAGGGAGGACTTCCCGGTGGGGAAGGGAGGACTCCAATTGGATGGGGGTCTCCCGTGTGGGATGGAGGTCTCCCGTGTGGGATGGAGGACTCCGTGTGGAGTGGGGGTCTCCCATGTGGGATGGAGGACTCCCGTGTGGGATGGAGGTCTCCCATGTGGGATGGAGGACTCCATGTGGGATGGAGGACTCTGTGTGGGATGGAGGTCTCCGTGTGGGATGGAGGTCTCCGTGTGGGATGGAGGTCTCCCATGTGGGGTGGGGTCTCCCATGTGGGTGGAGGACTCCCGTGTGGGATGGAGGACTCCCGTGTGGATGGAAGTCTCCTGTGTGGAATAGAGGACTCCCGTGTGGGGTGGAGGTCTCCCGTGTGGCATGGAGGACTCCCATGTGGGATGGAGGACTCCCGTGTGGATTTAGGTCTCCTGTGTGGGATGGAGGACTCCCGTGTTGGATGGAGGTCTCCCATATGGCACTTTAACTACTGTGCCATTCCCACCCCCAGCTGGACTTCTTAGAGGAATGGATTATCCTTGACACCCCACAAACCCCCTTATGCCAAGGAAGGCGCTCTAGGTAGGGTGAGAACATGGAAAAAGTTCTTTGATTTTTAAGCTTTTAACATTTAATTCCTATGGAACCACTGTTCTCAAAGCTTGTAACTGAACTGTGTGAACACTCCGATGCGAATGACAAACGCTTTGAAAGCAGGAAGAAAGGGAGAAAACCCCACCGTTATGGGAATCACCTCCTAGGCAAACGAGAACACATTCTAGAGAAATGTCTCTCCTTTTGTGTGAAAAACTATCTGGGAAAAGTCTTTGTCATCAAAAGGGACTGACATGATTGATCACTGGCTCTCTGCACTCAGTGGAATACACAGGTGGAATCCAGACCCTGCATCTATAGGCAGTATCTTTATTTAGGTGTCTTTTAACATTGTGATATTTATACACGGATATAAAATTACATCTTACCACAATGGTGTGTGGTTACACAGGTGTTAAGTAATTCCCCCCTCCCTACCCCCCAGAACTCCAGCCACTGTCTTCCAATCAAAAGAAATGTTTCTTGTTTCCTCTCCGGAATTGCTCTTCTAAAACCGAAGAGAAACAATGTAGAGTTCCCCCGGCAGCTGACTGTCAAGCAAGAACCCCATGTAGAAACTCCTCCCTGGGAACCCCGGAGGCCACAGCAGAGGCTCCCCCACGGAGCAGCCTGGAGGGCTTGAAACCCGGTCTGAAGTTTCCAGACCCACTGGGGCTTGTCCGGATAGCTCGGCAGGCCTTTGGATAAAGACTAAGGATTTACCTAGTGATTACCAGATTGCACAGCGCTTTCCTACATGTGTTCTCTTTGTCCTCACAGTGGGTCTGAAAGGAGTGTCTTTAATTTTACATACAAGGAACCACAGTTTTCTGATCGGGAGGTCCAGGGTTGGGCGCGGGGAATGCTTCAGTTCAGGGGCCTGTTCTAGACCCACGTCGGTATGGTCGGTGAGCCCTCCCTGAAGGAGTTTTTTTAAAAAAAGATTTATTGATTTATTTGAAAGTCAGAGAGAGAAGAAGAGGCAGAGAGAGGGAGAGAGAGAGAGAGAGAGAGAGAGAGGTCTTCCATTTGCTGGTTCATTCCCCAATTGACTGCAACGGCCGGAGCTGTGCCAATCTGAAGCCAGAGTCTTCCACGTGGGTGCAGGGACCCAAGGACTTGGGCCATCTTCCACTGCTTTTTCAGGCCCTAGCAGAGAGCTGGATCAGAAGTGGAGCAGCCAGGACTCAAACCGGTGCCCATATGGGATGTCAGCACTGCAGGTGGTGGCTTTACCCACTACGCCACAATGCTGGCCCCTGAAGGAGCTCTGATGGACTCATTTCCACATCCGCCCCAGCTTACCTCGTGTGCCACCAGGATCCACTTCATAAAAACATTTGGGGAAGGGCTGGCATTGTGGCACAGGGAGCCGAGCTGAGCTGCCTCCTGTGACACCAGCATCCCATACCAGAGCACCACTTACAGTCCCGGCCGCTCCGCTTCAATCCAGCTTCCTGCGAATGTGCTTGAGAAAGCAGCGGAAGATGGCCCAGGTCCATGGGTCCCTGCACCCACTGAAGACGCAGATGGAGTTCCTGGCACCTGGTTTTAGATGGCCACACCCAGCCATTGTGGCGTTTGGGGGGGTGAGCCAGGGAATGGAGGAATCTCATATTCTCCTCCAACCTCCTTCCTTCTTCCCCAGCATTTCAAATAAAGACATGAATCTTTTGTAAAAACTTTGAGCCCTCCAGGGCTCTGGTAGGCTTCTCTTCCCTAGGGGAGACACAAGACTGAGGTTGGGGGAATGACGGCAGCCCTCAGTGGCAGACGGTGACCTCGTGGCCACAGGTGGGACCCTGGGGCCCATCAGCTCCCTCCTCCACTTCCATTCTCTTCTGACTCTGCTCACGCCCGTGACTCACCTGCTGATGTACCCCAAACCCTCGCTGCTGCGGAGTGGGAACCCTGCTAACTACACCTGTGTGTGGCCTCCCTCCCTACTGCACTGCACGAGGACACTGCAAAAACTGTGTGGAAAATGGAATCAAAAGACAAGTTGAAGGCCGGCGCCGCCGCTCACTAGGCTAATCCTCCACCTTGCGGCGCTGGCACACCAGGTTCTAGTCCCGGTTGGGGCGCCGGATTCTGTCCCGGTTGCCCCTCTTCCAGGCCAGCTCTCTGCTGTGGCCAGGGAGTGCAGTGGAGGATGGCCCAAGTGCTTGGGCCCTGCACCCCATGGAAGACCAGGATAAGTACCTGGCTCCTGGCATCGGATCAGCGCGGTGCGCCGGCCGCAGCAGCCATTGGAGGGTGAACCAACGGCAAAAGGAAGACCTTTCTCTTTGTCTCTCTCTCTCACTGTCCACTCTGCCTGTAAAAAAAAAAAAAAAAAAAAGACAAGTTGAGGGGCAGAAATTTGGCTTCGCAGCTAAGATACCGTGTGGGACAGCTGCACCCCGTATTGGAGTGCCTGGGTTCAGGTCTCTACTGTCTCTCCCAGCATCCTGCCCATGCCGCTGCTAATGGGAGCAGCAGGTGACAGTTTAAGAACTTGAGTACTTGCCACCCACATGGGAGACCCTGATGGAGTTCCTGGCTCCCGGCTTCACGCTGGCCCAGCCCCTGGCTGTTGTAGTCATTTGGAGCATGAGTGGATACGAAATTCCTCTCTCTGTACTTTTCAAATAAATAACTGTAAAAAAAAAAAAAAAAGAAAATGTTCCAAATAAGAGA